CAAGTGCCAAGGTGGCTCACCACTAAGAAAACTAGCAATAGAACTCACTCTATTAGCTTCTCATTAAACGAGGGAAATATGTAGTTATATCAATAGATGATGAAAGGGCATTTCTTTTAAATTCATCAGCCATTCCTAATAAAAATCTAATTGACATATGAATAAATAAAGAGTCTCAGCTAAATAAAGACTGATTTTCAAATCCAACAGCAAACATCATTTTACGGTGTAACAGGAAACACCTTCCTTTAACACAGACCCCCCGGGTCACCGTCATTACTCAGCTATGCTTTGGAAGTCCCGCTAATACAACAGACACAGAAACTGAATAAGCGATCTACATATAAATACTGGAAGACCAAATTGTCTTTATCTATAGATTATATGGTTGTATACCTTGAAAATGTAAGATCTTCTGGTCATAATGGAATTCAGGAATATGTGCATTCAAAAACAAGTACCTCTCCTTACAAACATTGTACTGTTATTTGTGGCTGCCTCAAATCACCCGAATGCCCTCTGTACATTTCTGATAGTTCCTGCATCGTGGATCCCACTTTCTCCTTGCAGAATTCTGAAACCACATCTTGCATCTTCCCAGCTCCTGGGGCATAGCTAGGATTTTGCCTCTGCCAAGGAGACACATCCAGGCAGCACAGCCAAGAAGTGCTATGCAGGTGGCACAGGCCTCCTAGCCGTAGGCCAGGCAGGGGCAGTGCCAGCCAGGCCAGCTCCACCACATGCTCCAGGTGTTTCCCGGAGGCCACACCTGGACCCCGGGCCTCCAGTCCTCCCACCAAAGTCCCTCATTAAACCCTCTGCTTACACCAGCTCAGGCGGGCTCTGGTCTACAGCCAAGAGGCCGGACAACACGCTAGAGAGGAGAGTGTGAGCCCAGCCCACAAATGAGACCTCAGTATCCCCACGGTTTTTATCTCTAGACCCACCCATCTTACCGGGGTGGCAGAAGCTTGACATGGTCAATGCAGCATTCTGTATCTTCCTTCCCAGGCTGTGTCTGACGGGGCAGGAAGACAAGTCCATCTACTCATACAACTATCGAAACACCCCTTGGTCCCCATGGTCCTCGACCACTGGCTAATGCACACAGGGCCTTCGCCTTATCGGAGTCCCTTACCCCACCCTCTTGTTTCTGGGCCATGTCACAGCCTGTCGGTTCTGAGGTTGCCTGTGGCCTGCATGCCTTGACCTGCGATGGCAACGCTTTGAGTCCCAGGCCTCTTGGGAGCACAGCCCAGGAAGCCTCGTGGAGCCTCTCTCTGGGCCTCCGGCCTCAGCTCTTATCAGCTCCCCACACCCTCTCTCCCTGCCCACCCAGGGTGTCCCATCCTGGTGTGAGGGAAGTCCCACTCCTTTGCGCCTTTGTATCTTGAAGTGCTCTGAGAGAGTCCTCCTCAGACTCACGCCCTCCGTTGTGACGTTGTCTGAGAGAGGCCCGTGGCAATGTGGGCTTTGGCTTTTGGAAACACAAAGGCCAGAGATCCAAGGGCTTCGAAGGGGTCTGCCCTATCAACCTCTCCCCTCAGGCAACAAGCACCTGAGTCCACCCGCTTGAATGGGGTGGGGGAACTTCCGAAAAGAATATCACTGAGAAAATAAAATCATCAGCTCACCACACTGAAAATGGCCAAATTTAAAGGAAAAAGGGGAAACCCCATTTACAACACTAGAAAACCATAAACTACCTAGCAATACATCAAGGAAGAGACACAACCCACACGAAGAAAACTGTAAAACTGCACAGAGGGACAATACTTAGGAGGCTAAGTAAAGATGAGATACAACGAGTTTCTGAGTGGGAAGAATTAACACAGTAAAGACATAACTCTCCTCAATGTCTAATAGTGTTACTCTGGACCTGGGCCACTGGATCCTAAAATTCATCTGTAAGAATAAATTGTGAGAAGCAGCAATAACTTTTTAAAAAAGAAGTGAGGAGGGGCACTTGCCCTACCAGCTGCTGAACATGCTGCAAAGCTGCCATCATCAAAACACCGCGGCGTGAAATGACTTGCGACAAACTGGCCGTGAAAGCCCCACGGGTGGCAGCTTGGAAACATATGAGATGCATTCTTTTTTTTTTCTGTTTTCCCTTTTCTTTTGAGACAGAGTCTTGCTTCGTCACCCGGGCTAGAGTGCTGTGGCGTCAGCCTAGCTCACAGCAACCTCAGACTCCTGGGCTCGAGCGATCCTCCTGCCTCAGCCTCCCGAGTAGCTGGGACTACAGGCACCACCATGCCTGGCTAATTTTTTCTATTTTTAGTAGAGACGGGGTCTCGCTCTTGCTCAGCCTGGTCTTGAACTCCTGATCTCAAGCGATCTTCCCACCCCAGCCTCCCAGAGTGCTAGGATTACAGGCATGAGCCATCCCACCCAGCCAGGACACATTCTATCTTAAAGGTGGCATGCTAAATCAGGGGCTTATTTAAGGACTCCCCACCTCCTGCCACATCAGAAATAAGCCCTGGATGAACTGGACACCTGACTGCAGGAACCAAATCCATAAAACTATCAGAAGGAAATAGAGAGACTTTTCATAAGATAGGGGTGGAGGAGGTTCCCCTAAGATATGAAGCCCCAAACCACAAAAAAAACAATTAGACAGATTCGACCACATCGAACTTTAAAACATACACATAGGTACAGTGACACAAAGACACAAAGACACAAGCGACAGATTGCAGGAAAATACTTGCAGAACATAAAACATGGGGAACGTTCACGTCCCTGACACACAAAGGGTTGTACAAATCGGTAAGAAAAAGATGAATGCCATGACAGGGGGGCAGGCAGAGGATGTGCCCAGGCAATCACAGAACCAAACAGAGAAGACGTTAGGAGTCTACATTTTGTCTACAGGACCGGCAAACCTTCCTGACGTCGAATAACACCCACTACAAGCGAGGGTGTGAGGAATTGGCGGGAATATAAACCGACATCGCCTTCTTACCGGCAGCTGTTTCCCTTTCTAGTAGATTTCCTCTCGCTCAGTGACCCCTTCTAGGAATCAAGCCACATGGATAACCACTTGAGCCCATAAAGACATGAGGACAAGGACGGTCACTTCAGTGTTGCTGATGACAAAAGACTGGAAATGATGCCCACCAATGAGGGATGATTAAATAAACAATAGTCCGCTCACTCAAGGGAATACTAAGCAGACATGGAAAACGAAAGGTTGCCCTAGACGTACTGACCGGGAAGGCTGCTGCTGGTGACCTGCTCAGTAACAAGGCTGGGGCGGCACTGCCCACGTGCCGCCCTAAGCACTTCACAGCACTGTGGAGCTCCACCATTCAAAGACAATTTTGTTTGCTGCAGAAGGATGATGGGTAAACCGTGATAGAGAGGAGGGAACTGGCTGAGCGGAGGTGGGAGCTGAGATGTGGAGGTCTGGCGGTGTGCTCCCTGCGCCCCCGAAACCCCTCCATCCAGAGGGGAAGGGGTAGGAAAGGCAGAGGGCAGCTCCTTCTAATTTTATATAATTCTTCAAAGATGTGAGGTGCTCCTTTTGTGTTTTTAAATACTTCCCTGAGATAATAAATTCGGCACACAAATATTTAAGTGGAAACTGGATGAAACTTCATCTCCGTGGGACGTCCTCCCTACACCACCAAGGCTTGCGGGGGTGGTGTTCCATTGCCCAGGGGTCTTCACTGGCTCTGGCTTCCTGCCTCTTCCAAATTCTCAAGCTGCTCTGCAGTCCCCAGGCCCCCAAAACACCAGACACAAGCCGAGGACAGTACACTTTACTGAAGGGGGTGCGGTGGCAGGGAGGGGCCAGGGGTACACAGTGAGCAGCAGAGGAGCCGGCAGTCTGTGGAAAAGTCCCTCAGCTGCGTCCACCGGCAGGGGGCTGACACCATTTCCCGGTGAGGGCTGAAGGCCCTGCCCGCTCTCTCCCTGGTTCACCACCCTGAACCCCAGATTTCTCTCCATCGCTCTGGGAGGAATGCCAAACCCAGCTCTTACAGGAACCATTTTTCTTCCAAGGAGTCCAGGACTCAGCAGTGACCACAGGTCTGGGTCAGCCACAGGTGGCATCAGCAAGTACTGGCCAAAGATCAGGCCCCAGAGAAGCCCTGGGGTGTCTGCCAAGCATCGCATGGTGAGCCTGGGCCACGGGACGAGCCACTGGTAGAGTACTGAGCACTGTGGCCAGTGGGTGAGGGAGGCTGGGGTGGATCAGGGATGCAGGGATGAAACTGGCAACCCACAGCTGGAACAGCTGCCTGGCTGGGTCTTCCCTGCTCAGCGCAGTGCCCAGGCCATCTGTGCCAGCCCACGAGGCAGGTCGGTTTCCTCAGCCCCCGGCCAGAGGGGTGGATGTCCAGTGAGGCAGGGTCTCCACTCAGCCTGGAGCAGCTCCAGTGGCTCTCAGCTGGCTGGAGGCTCAGGGGAGCTGGCCCCCAGCACTGACCACCCCCAAGGGGTAAGAGAGCCTGGCAGGAGCCAGAGGACACTCACACACCGGCACGTCTATGCATCTGCAACTGCCCACGTGTGTGCTGGACACTGAGCGTCCGGGGCAGGCATGCACAGGTGCATTGGGACACAGCAGTCTGAGCTGGTGTGATGTCAACATTTCAGTGCATGTGCGTGGGGACGCCTGTGGGAGTGAGCCCGTGTGTGTGCAAGCAGGGTGTGGATACGGAATGTGTCACTGCGGGTACAGGTGTGTGCATGTGTGCCCATCTGGCGTCTGTGGTGTGTGCACACACAGTTCCAATGCCACCCACACCCCGCTCCCCCGCCCATCCTGTGATCTTGTTCATCTTAACTCCGCCCCCACAAGTGCTCCCAAACCTCACCAGGCCCCAGAAGCCACAGCACACCCACCCAGCACCCTCTGCCCCTAGGCCTCCTGAGCATGGGTGAACCCCCCACCCACCGTCTCTGCTTTCTCAGCCCCTCACTCCCTGCTCTCATCCAGGACACCCCACCACCAGCACACTCCAACTCCCAGGCTCAGACCCGGGTCTCAGGACTCATAAGTGACTTTATTTCTCCGTAGAAGATGCCTTTGCAGCCAGGCTGTTGGGCTGTGTCTGGCTTGGCCTCACCTCCCCTCTGGGACCTGGGGGTCCCAACCCCCTGCCCTCATCCCCAGGCCTCCTGCCCAGACACCTGGTTTACTGGAGACGTCTGGCTGCCTGGGACTTGGAGCTGGTGGAGAGACAGGCAGGTCTCATATCTGGGGAGGGGTGAGAGCCACAGGCCACGGAGCTGGGCTGAGACTGCCCCGAGCCCCAGCCAGGCCAGGCTGGGGAGGGGGCAGTGACAAGCCCAAGGGAACAGAGCTCAGAAGCCTCTAGGAGACAGCAGACCTCAGGGCCCAGCCCAGAGCAGGGCAGGCCCCAGGCTGAGCAGCAGCCCCCCAGCCAGGGCCCAGGGGCTGCGTCTCGCCCCGGCCGCCCCATTGCACAAATCCTTCTCGCAGCAGTCCACCTCAACTTTTAAGATCCCAGAGTTAATAAACCCCATCAGATAGTCTGAGAAAAAGTGCCGCTTAACGAAGTCGCAGGAAGAAGCACACATCTTGTTCACGGAATGATCCTTCCTGCCTGGAGAAGAGAAAGTAGGGTCTGGGAAGGGGACTTCCCTAGCCCTCTCTGCCCCACCCTCCCCAGGACCCAGCCCAGGCCCCTCCAGGGCAGCCCTTGGCCCACCCACACTGTTCCCAACTATATGGAAGGGGCTAACATGGAGCCAGGGAGGGATAAGCACCTGCTCACTGCCATGCAGCAGGGCAGCATGCTGACACAGACCCATGCTCTTCTCCCAGGCGAGAGGGGCTCAGAGGACACCTCCGACCTCTCCCAAGAGCCCAACTTACTGCTGCTGGGATCAGTGATTCGGACACTGGCACACACTGTGTCTGACGGCTGGCACTGCTTCGGGGTGCAATGGCTGGAGTTGGTGGTCAGGGTGCAGTCCTGGCACCACAGGCCATGAGCTGGGCAGGACGGAGGGAGGAGGATGACCAGAGGCCAACCAGGCCCCTGCACCCCTCACCCTCCCTGCCAGCTGCAGGCACTCCTAGCAGAACCCTGACGGTGGAGGCTCAGGCTCTCACCCCACAGGATTGGGTAGGCCAGACTGACCCCTGGAGGAGAGGCCCTGGGACAACCTGTGCCCATCCTGGACTCTGGAGTCCTATAGCCCCTCCCTGCCCCCCCTCCCACACAATTACACACCTGGCCACACATATCTCACACCTACAGTGCCTCCTGCACACTCCTACCCCACCTCACACACCCCCCAAAGTTCTGTGGGTTCCAAGCCAGGAAGGGCCAAACTGGATTTGATGGGAGGCCCGGTGAGGCTCTGAGAAAGTGATGGGGCAAGAACCAGGCTCTGCCCTCGGGAGCAAGGGCATCCTTTCAAGACCAGCCGCCCACCCGCACAATGCCCGAAGGAAAAGCTGTCGGCGCTCTCACACTGGGCGAGGCCCGCGTGGCTGGCGCGGAGCGGGCAAGGGCCCGGCTGGGGTCGCCGGGGTCCAGGAGGGGGTGTGGGCTTTCCAGGAGGCACAGTGGAAACCGTCGGAGAACGGCGGCCTCAGGGCCGGCCCGGCGGAGAAGACAGCGGCGGGCTCTCCTGGGGGAACCCGACCCAGCCCCCCGCGGGCCCCCACTCACCGGGCGCGGAGCACAGCAGGATGGCCAGCAGCGCCAGACCGAGGCCCTTCATGGCTGCAGGAAGCATGCTCAGGGCGGGCCTCGGGGAAATGCGGGGGCTGTGGGCGGGGGTCCTCTGGGGCGCAGGCCTGGCGGGGAGAAGCCTCAGTCAGGTGACCCAGCCCCAAGGACCATACCCTCTTCTAGCCTCAGAATGCAACCTTCTCCCCGGAATCCAAGGCGGGGGATCGGCCTCGAGCTCGAAAGCCCCACCCCCAGCCCATCCCCCAGAGAGTCCACTATCACAGCATCCCCGCCGGGAGAAAAGGTCTGCCCTCTCAGGCGAGGTGACGGCCCGAGGTGCCCCCTCCCCAAGCCCGGCACCTGTATGGGGGGGTGTCTTCTCCTCCCTGGGGAGCTGTGGGTGCGTCCGGACGGGAAAGGGCAGCAGGAGGTGAGAGCCGACAGTACCTGCTGACTGGGGGAGGGCTGCGCGCCACGTCCCCACCCCCACCCCTGGGCTGGGGGGCCGGGAACCCCGCACCGAGTCCCCTCCCGGCCTCCCGCGCGCGCGCCTCGGCGCTCACCGCGGATCGGGGCGTGGAGCGCGGGCCTCGGGGTCGGGGGGCGCACTCACATCCCGGGAGTGTCCGCACTCCGGGCTCGGGCGGCGTGCGCTGCGCTGAGAGCGATGCCCTTCGGTCTCCCTGCGGACCGGAACCCGGGCGCAGCCTCGTCTTTCGGGGAACGCAGCCGCAGACGCGGACCCCGCGCGAGGGGCGGGGCGGAGCCGGGGCGGGGGCCGCGCGGGGGGCGGGGGCAGCGGAGACGCGTGGGGCGGGGGCGCCCGGAGCTCGCGTCCCCGCGGCAGGTCGCTGGTCCCGGTCCTCCCGCGCCCCTTCGCTCGCGCGCGCTCGCTCTCCCGGGTCCCCGCGCCCTCTTCCGCTGCCCCCGGCCCCCGCACTCCTCCCCACCTCCATGTCCCCCTGCCAGGCGTGGGTGCCTCCCCCCTCTGCTTGGCTGAGATTCCCCTTGGAATTTCTCGGAAGAACGTTTATTGCGAAAGGAAGCAAAACGCACAGAAACTCAGAAAGGAGAGGAGGGAAGAGCCGCTGTGCTCCGCTCAGATCCCTGTTCGCAGACCTCTGGGACCAGACTTCCAATCCTGGGCCCCTCCCTCCTCATCCCCGTTTCCGATTGTTCTCGGCGGTTCTCCTCCTATGAGCATCCGTGAAGACCCCCACCAGAAGCTGCAGCCCCAGGGACTTTTGTTGCCAACGACACCCGCACCCAGACAGCAAGACCCAAATGCTGGCCTGGGCATTCGAGGCTTCAACCAGCTTCTTGTCTTCCTCTCCCGCCTTCCCGCCCTGCCCCACGGGCCTTCCAAGGTGCTGCGCCTTCGCGCTTGCCGCCCCGGTGCCCGGATCCTTCTCTGCCGGGCACTGGTTAAGCCGCAGTCTGCCTTTGGTGGTGTTCGTCCCGCCTTCATTCACTCGACCAGAAAACCGCTTACCTGGGCTGCGTTGGGCCCTGGGAAAGGCGATGGAAAGACAGATGTGGTTTCTGCTGCCCCGGCTCTTACGTGGGACACGTGGTTATCACTAATGCAGTGTACCTTTGCAAGACGTGCCCGTTATAGCTAACATTTATTGAGCACAAACTATGTGTTCGAATTGTTCTAAACACTTCATGTGTATCATCTCATGACAGTCTCACAACAGCCCTTCTGTGCAGATATTACTATCATTTCCATCCTACAGACCAGGAGACCAAGCACAGAGAAACTGAGCTCCCTGCTCAGGGGCCCACAGTGACCAGGTGATACAGCCAATGTTGGGACCCAAGCAGTGTGGGCCCCGGAGCCTGTGTACCTCACCACTCCACTGTGCAGCTGCAGAGGAATGGTGGCAGAGGAAGAGGTAGACAAGAAAGCATAATAGGACCCTGGTTCGCATTAGGGTCAGGGAAAGCTTCTCCTGAGGATGTGACATTTTAGCTGGGACCTGAGTGAGGAGTTGAGATTGATAAGGTGCAGAGGACAAGAACTGGATCCTAGCCCAAACACAATTCCTTTCAAAGCATTGCAGACCTCTCAGGAAAGTAAAAGAAATGTCTGAATCCATAAATAAATATGTAAATAAGATAACAGAGCCGCAAAGCCTGTCTGCTGATCAGGAGGCTGATGTGGAAGCCAAAGTAGTCCTGGGCAGAGCCTGGACCTGCACTGGGCCTGAGGCGTCAGGTCTTGGTGTGGATTCTCTCAGATGCAGAGCCTGAGGCAAGGATTCAGGACCAGGCTGTAGTCGAAGGTGCAGGAATGAGCCCCGGGTGTGGGGAAAGAGACCAGCGAAGGTGTGGGACTGAGTGAACTGCCATAGTGGGGAACTGGAGCCTGGTTTCATAGCGGAGCTCAGGGAAATGATTTGGAATGTGAGCCTCAGAGTGGTTTCACCAAGGGATGAAGGAACTAAGGCATTTTTGTGGCAACTTCCAGGAAGCATTGATTGAGGGCTGCTCTGGGGGTTCATTCTCCAACACTTTCCACTTGCCGCCCACACGAGGCAGGCAGAGTATCTTCCCTCTGGCACAGAGATGCTGACACCGGTCATTGGAAGTTATGCTAGAATACACCAGCGAGGTTGGGGATTAGGGGAAGCATTCGTAACACCCGCCCAAAATGTGTGGGCAGGGGAGAGAAGAGGGCTGAGCCCTCACAAGAGACTGGGTAACTCTCACAGGACGCTGAGATCCCCAAGGGAACCAGGACGGCTCTAAGCCAGTAGTACCCCTGCATGCAGAAAAGCAACCCCCAACTTAGGGACTGGGATTCTCACAGATTTAACTGAATCAAAAATGAGTTCAAAATCAAAACTCAGCAAATATCCAAAGAAAAGCCTCCAAAGTAAGACTCAGCAGAAACAACGGCAAGCAACAGATTCAAATCACTGCAAGCTTTCTAAATTGAAGGTGTCAAATATAGAACATAAAATTAACCTTTACTATGTTTAAGATTTAATAAGGAACAAGACACTGTCAAACTGACCACCATGCTTATCTGAAAAAAATAGAATCTCTAGAAATGAAAAACTTTTCATTGAAACTAAAAGGTCAGCAGAAACCTTAAAAGATTTATGATAAGTGAAGGAAGAAGCCAGTCACAGAAAAACACACATTATGTGGTTTCATTTGTATGAAATGTCCATAACAGGAAAATCCAAAGGGACACAGAAGATAGATTAGGGGTTGCCTTGTGCTGGGGGAAGGGAGGAATGGGGAGTAACTGATAATGGGCACTATAAATAAATGAAGTGATAAAAATCATTTGGGTGTGACGAAAATGTTCTGAAAATAGATAGTGATGATGGTTGCACGACTGTAAATATATGAAAAACCACCGAATTGTATGCTTTAAAGGGGTAAATTTTATGGTATGTAAATTATATCTCAATGAAGCTGTTGTAAAAAAATACTTAGCAGATGGGTTAGGCAGCAAATTAGACATGGCTAAAGAGGGAATTTGTAAACTAGAAGGTAAATTTAAGATATTATCAAGAATGTAGCACAAAGGATAAGAAGATAGAAAACAGGAAAGAGAAGTTAAGAAACATAAAAGGAGGCCAGGCATGGTGGCTCACACCTGTAATCCTAGCACTTTGGGAGGCTGAATTGGGAGGATTGCTTGAGGTCAGGAGTTTGAGGTTGCAGTGAGCTATGATGATGCCACTGCACTCTAGTGACAGAGTGAGATCCTGTCTTAAAAAAAAAAAAAAGAAAATTCTGTCATTTGTGACAACGTGGATGAACTTGGAGAATGTTATGCTAAGTGAAATAAGCTCGACACAGAAAGACAAATACCAAGTATTTGTCACTTACCTGTGACAGATATCACTTATCTTTGGAATCTAAAAGAGTTGAAGTCACAGAAGTAGAGAGACTAGAATGCTGGGGACAGGGGAGGAGGAATGGGAAGATGTTGGTTAAGGGGTACAAAGTTTCAGTTAGGAGGAATATGTTTTTGAGATGTATTGCACAGCATGGTGACTATAGTTCATAATAATGTAATCTATATTTCAGAATTTCTAAGAGTAGATTTTAAATGCTGATGCCACATAAAAGATGATAAGTATGTGAGGTGGTAGATAGGTTAATTAGCTTGATTTAAGCATTTCACAATGTATACATATATCAAAACATCACATCATACCCATAAGTATATAAAATTATTATGTATCAATTATTTTTTTAAAAAATTTAGATAAATAAATCTTTCCAGATCAACACAATTCAGAGAAGTGGAGACAGTTTGCCATTAGCAGCCCTTCACCAAAGAAGCTTCAAAAGAATGTACTTTAGGAAAAGAATGTATTACAGAGGGCCTAGAATGCAAGAAGAGCTGGTGAAGAAATTGGCTAACAAGAAGGGAAATCCAAATTCACATTGTCTTTTAAAATCATAAAAAATGTCTGATATGTGAAGTTTAAAAGGACTTCACTGGGGCACTGGACAGCAGCAGCACGTGGTGATCTGAATTGAAGGGTTCTGAGCCCCTCGAATTGTTGGAGGCAGCTGTGACCATGATGCCTTTTAGGTGCCTTTAGGTGCCTTCAGGTGCCAAGAACACGCAGTGAGGTTTCAAGGGTGGCCACCAGTAGCGCTCAGGGACGTGCAAGGCTGGGTGCGGGAAAGACCTCCGTGAGTTCAAGAAATGGAGAGGAAGTCAGTGCACCTGGCACATGGGGGAGCCGAGGAAGCCCTGAGAGGGACGAGGTAGGAAAAGAGGGTAAATATCAGACCCCAAGTGGCATTGAAATCATATTATAGATGGTGGACTGTGTGCTAAGGACTTTAGAGTGTGAGATCGGGAAGTCTTTGGGCTGCAAGTAACAAAATACCCATCCAGGAGTGCAATGATTAATTTTATGTGTCAGCTTGGCTGGGCCATGGTACCCAGGTGTTTGTGCAAACATTATTCTGGATGTTTCTGTGAGGGTGTTTTTGGGTGAAATTAACATTTAAATCAGTGGGCTTTGAGTAAAGCACATGCCCTCCACAAAGTGGTGGGCCTCGTCCAATCAGTTTGAAGTCCTGAATAGAAGGAAAGACCAATGTCCCCTGAGCAAGAGAGAATCATATGCCAGATGGCCTTTGGCCTTGAACTGCACATCAGCTCTTCCCTGGGT